TCTATTGTAGAGTCCTTGATAGTGATTTCCCTCTTTTTTTCTCTAAGGACTAATCGAAAGGGAGGATGGGTAGGCTCGGGAGGAAGGCTCGCTTCGAACTTGGCAGTCTTTCGCCTTTTAGGGGCTGGGTCCTCGGCGAGCTCAAAGATTGAGTCATCTTCTTGAACTGGGGAGTGAACAGGTTCTGAAGGATCTATCTCAACACGAACAGAAGTTTCGGTAGCTTGAGCCAAATCTGTTTGGTTATCCAAAGGTAGACCCGCATCATTGGCTTCAGAAAGAATTACCTCAGGAAGGGCCCCGACATTTGGTTCGTTAAGAACAAAAATCAGAATGACTGAAGCAATTGGAGTCGGTTCGGTGGAAGGAGTCGGCTCAATTGTCGACAAAAAGTCTAAGAAATTCTTTATATTCCTTCATCTAGAGGCTACTAGAGGTCTCTTTTTTCCTCGGGGCATCTTATCCTGAGCAGCTTGTATTGTCTCTCGATCTGCTGCAAGCGTCGCATTGGGTCGGTTCAGCATAACAATAAAGGATGTGTAGTTTGGTGTGTATCCAAACAGTGTATGGGCAGCACGACAGAACAAGGACTTGTTGAAATCCCAAACCTTCTAAAGTTGGTCCAACTTAACAGAAGACTCGGGAATCTTGCCTTTCACCGTCTCTCCTACATAAGCAATATATCAGATACAAGAAAAAAAAGTACAACAAATGTTTCTTGAGGAAAGAGAAGATTCAAATACCTAGTATGCTTTCTTCATAGGGGTAGCGATAAGAGGGGGAGGCTCCAGCAGGGTACTCCCAATTTTTAGAAACGAACACAATGTTATTTTCATGACCTTTGTTCGAGTCTGGGAGATGGGTGACCAGATATCGATCATTCTTCTTAACCGAGAGATAGTAGCTATCTCTAGCAGCTTTGATGATGTAGCAGTATAGGATGTCCCATAAACCAAGTCTCAGACCTAAGATTTTGTTCAACACAGACACCCCCATGACTATCCTAAAGACATTAAGGCAGCATTGGAGGGGGCAGAGTTTTGTGACAGAGAGAACCCAGAGAAGAAGAGGATCGAGGGAAAAATGGATTTCACCCTCAATAATGGCACGAATGGGAATGGGGATTCTCTCTCTAGTGCCAATGAAGGGCTCATCCTTCCCAACAACCCTAACCTCAATATCGTCTGGGATATTGTACTTGATTTTGAAGGCAGGAACTTCTAATGGAATAAGAGGAGCCATGAAGAAGATAAAGTGCAGAGGAAGAAAAACGTAGAAATGGGTGAATAAGAGTCTGAAAATCTGGTAGCAGAAGAGCAAAAATACGAAGAAAGATGGTTTATAAAGAAGGAGGAATTTTAAAGGGCAACGTTTAAATGCTCTGAGTGTGCCGCCAAAATGAAAAGACATGTTACAAAGTACAAGTGATGATGAATCGATAAGAAAATGACTGGCAGCCAAAAAGCGTTTGTCAGACGTTTTCTGGGGGTAAATGAAGGGGTTAAACCTCATGATTACACGTGACATGATATTAAATATGTTCACGTGATGTTGACAAAACAAGACCTGTGATAAAAAATCCTCTATTAAAGCTTTTAACCAAACCGAGCTAATCATAGGTTCGGCAAATGACAGAAAAAGTTTGGTTCTCTTTATGAGCGAACTCAATAGTCTGTTCAGCTAAGCAACGAAAGAGCTCGGCTTGTACCAAGCTGAATCCGTTAAAGTGTTCGGCAAGGAAAGATAAAGATTCGCCTATAACTAAGACAATCAGATAAACGAAATCGATGAGATTGAAGATATCAAGAGAAATTGTTGGAGAAGTATCAGTAACTTCCCAAACTCAACTATTGAATTAAAGAAATGTGTGACACCTTGAACATAAATTCATGGAAACCCTAAGAGGATAATGATCTATAAAAAGTAGAAGAGACCAAGGTGAAAGGTACGCTGAACTCTCCTTGTCTTGGTACAATTGTTTTTGTTCCATTACTGACTTAAGCATCGGAGTGTCTTCGATCGAAACACTTCGATCTTGGGCAGTTTGTTTGTTTTGTAAGAAAGAGATTAGGAGATTGTTCAGACTTCTTTCCCAGAAATCGTATCACGAATTCACGCATAGAGGTATTGCCAATTTTTTGCCTCTACATCTTTCATGGGTGGACACTTCAAGAAGTTTTAACTTTTTTTTTTCTTTCATTTGATAAAAGTAAAGTAATATATTAATGTTTCTTAAATCATATTTAACACTTAAAAATTAATTGAACACAAATAGCCACAAATTAGTTGTAGTGTTATCACCAAAAATAGTGGTCAAATGTCATCGTTTCTTCTTGCTTGTCCCCTTCCCTCCCTCTCTCTCTTAATTGATTGCTCATTTTAGTCTCATGGGAATTATCTCATGACAAACATATTTGATTTTAGTTTTTAACTCCAAATGATTGTATAATTTTCGATTGTGAACTTGATTTTTTAAAACACATACAAAATGACTCTTATTTTTTAACACATTGATTATAATTTTATATATAATGACAAAATAATCTTATAGCTTTGTAAAAATTATTAAATGACCCCCAAAGTGTTCCTCCACTAAACTTAGTAGTTGTTTATCTCGTGACTCTTGATCCACTGAACTTAGTAGTTGTTTATCTCGTGACTCTTGAATCATAATTATTGTTGATAATAAGAAACCCTAGTAATATCCCCCGAACTTAAGTTTATAACACCCTAAACTCCATAATATAGGAATTACTTAACTACAAACCATCCAAACATAAGAGCAAGTAAAAATCATCAAAAAATATAAAAATATATTTACCATACCTCAGTAATAAATAAAACTCCCAAAACTAAACAAGCACTCCCCAAGTTTATATCCAAAATATTTAAATAATACTAGGTCTCAAAATAAATGACAAACTACTGAATGTTTATTATATCATCAATGGATTAATTTCAAATCCATAAATTGAAATAACAACTCTAAGCCTCGACTCTGAGATCTCCATCCTGATCAACCTTGGTCTCAAAGTTCACCTATTCATTCAACCCAACATCCTCTTTTGTTCTAAAATCTGAAAGTGTTGTTTGTAGGGTGTGAACAAAAACCCATAAGAAAATCTCTCTCAATCCAAATAAGGTTTTAAAGCATAAAACATGGAAGTCTCTTTTAGAAAATAACTTATGTAACTTGAGGAAATAAAACAATGTTAGTTTTAAGTATCTCAAGTTTATGGAATACATTAATTCAATAACATAAGAAAACATTTGGGAATCAAAGTAAATAAAGAATAATTCAGCAAATATAATCACAAATGTTTCATGTATGTTGGTTGCTTCTTAGAAATCTACACAACGAACCTATCCCATTCATCTACCACAACAAAAAAAATCTCAATCATTCCTCGCAAAGCCACATCACAAACAATTTTAGGTAGTGCATGTACCATCTCATACAACATTAATGAATCCATTTCTAGAAAATGTATACCATCCCTAAATTTTGGACTTTCATGACCAATAGTGGTTGACAAATCAAGAAAATAATCCCTTACGAGCAATAGATAACCATCTCATGCATACTAGGATAGAATAACTTCTAACACTCTACGTCAGCTGTTGAAGGCAATCCAAGTCTGTCACACCAAAATCATACAAGAGGTAAAAATCATTATTTTATCAACAACCGTATATTTAACCAATCACAATTTCCATCAAAATTCATGTGCCATAAATTTTACAATTTTCCATGCACAATGATAAAGGAATTAAAATATATATTTTTTATTTTTTATGCAAGAGATCATTTCAAGAAATCTTTACTTTTGTTGTACTCAAATTCTAGGGTCTTCTCAAACTTTCGATTCTTGGAGAGAAAAATATGCTTTTGAATGTAAAACATAATTTATTCAAGAATTAGGATTTATAAATAAAACAGGAATGAATATCATAAGAAAATTATGCAACTTTTCAAGAACTAGGGTTTTAGAATTCAAGACCAATAATTTCTTGAACATAAAACATGTATTTTATTCAAAACAACTTTTCAATCGGAAGGAAATCAAGAATTAACAATTCTCTAGCATATAATTACTAAGAAAATAAAAAACATACATAAATATATTTCCTAACCTCAATGAAAGAAGTCAAGAAGAATCTCATACCTTTATCCGATGTTTAATGTTAGCCCTAGCGTGTTTCATCAGTTTCCAACATAAAAATCTATTTAAATCTTGTGTTTTCTCCTTCTCTCTTTGTCTCTCTCTAGAGGTGCTTAGGGTTGAAAAATTGATGCAAATAAAGCTAAAGAGGGTGTCCTTAGGTATTTATAGGGTTATAATCTGAACAGTCAACGTGTCCCTTATTGTTGTAAAAATTGCACTCAAGTTCGAACGGAGATTGGAGTTTGAACGTGCCTCGTTCGTGCCTTGCGTTCGAACGTGATTTACTTCCAGTATCTCGATTTCTATTAGACACTAAAGTATTGTAGCTAAACCTTGTTTGAACGTGACTTGACATTTGAACGTAATTCTCAATTCCTGTTAGAACTTCCAATACAAATTCGATCTATTTAGAAGTTGATTTACCAAATTATTGTGAAATACACTTTTGTAATTTTTGGAATCTTATTTCTACTGTCAAAAAATTAGGTCAATCTAATGTCAAAATAAAAAGTTATGGACAAAATACTAAAATAATATCTAATTATTCTCTTCTTAACTTCCTCCTAAGATACTTCTTAAGATTCAAAATACTATTATTTTCTATTACGGTATACATAACTCATTTTTACATATTATTATGAATATATGGGGTTTACATAGTTACCAACTTACCATGTGAGTATAAAATTTTTAATACTAAATGTCTTTGTTACAACAAAATGCCACTTCAGTGCGTTTTTTTTAATTAAAATAAATTGTCCACTTATTTACTGTCATTTGTCAGTTGTAGACGCGATGCAGCTGATTGCAGCCCTCGTATGGAGAGCCTAGGATTTTGAGGATTCTTTCTTTGGATTAGCCGCACAATTACGACTCTTTGTGATTCGCCGGGCCGTTCCTCATTTCTGTTTGATTCTCTTCGTCTGCGGTTTCTCTCTTCTGTTCTCTCTGTACAGACATATATATATGTGTACATATGTTCTCGAATATTTAATTTTTTTCCTCTCCTTCCCGTTGCTCTCCGACCCTCTCTGAGTTTTGTTTAAAGAACAGAAGAAAAAGGGGTCCAGCTGTTTAGGGTTTTTCTTCTGGTGCTTATCGAATTAGAATCGATGGGTGTATTTGAGGAGATTGGAGGTGATATCAGGTAAGGTTTGAAAATCTCTAAAGACACAGAAGCTTCAGTTTTTCTGGGTCTCTCTCTCTCTCTCTCTCTCTCTCTCGCTCGCTTGCTTTTGCTTATCTCTTTGTTTAATCTCTCTATGAAATTCCTATTATCTGGTGAAGAAACTGTTGTATTGAGTTTGTGGGTATCTAGAATTATCGGTCTGTTTGACTGTTATTGACATGTAACAGCGTTTTATTCGGGTTTCAACAATTTTAACAACCCTCTGACCAAAAAAAAAAAAGAATTTTAACAACCCAATTCTTGCAATTGATAGGGAAACTGGAATTGTTGTAAAATTTGACAAGTGGGTACGTACAAAATTACGAAGCAGAGTTTTGGGTTGTATATATTATTATTATTTTCTGCGTTTGAATATGCTCCAACTAGTGGAAATTTGATTACTGTTTTTTCTTAGAAATGCAAAAGTGATTGCTGGGCTGTAAATATTACTATGCTACGTACGAATCTAAATCCTTATATTTCATGGGGAAAAAAATCTCAGCCCTTGTGGGAAATGGTTTTCGTTAGGGTTGAGGGTGTTGTTTGACTGAATAATCTGAGATTTATTGAGTTTATTTAGTTATTGTTGCATATTGGTTGAACGGAACGTTTTATGATTGACGCCTATTTACTGGGATACAGTTCGGATGTTGAAGTTGATGACATAAGGTGTGGCAATATAACGGAAAAAGATGTTAGCGATGAGGAGATTGAAGCAGAAGAATTGGAGAGGAGAATGTGGAAGGACCACGTCAAACTCAAGAGGATCAAGGAACGGCAGAAGCTTGCTGCCCAGCAAGCCGTGGAGAAGCAGAAGACAAAGCAGAACAATGATCAGGCCCGGCGGAAGAAAATGTCGCGAGCTCAGGATGGGATTTTGAAGTACATGTTGAAGCTTATGGAAGTGTGCAATGCTCGTGGATTCGTGTATGGGATAATTCCTGAGAAGGGTAAGCCAGTTAGCGGTTCCTCGGATAATATAAGAGCTTGGTGGAAAGAAAAGGTGAAGTTTGATAAGAATGGGCCAGCAGCCATAGCCAAGTATGAAACGGACCGTCTTTCCAAGGCTGAGGGAGTTGGTAATCAAAATGGAAACTCGCAAAGCATTCTTCAAGGTTTGCAAGATGCAACTTTGGGATCGCTTTTGTCTTCTTTGATGCAACACTGTGATCCACCTCAGAGGAAATACCCATTGGAGAAGGGTGTTCCGCCACCTTGGTGGCCAACTGGGAATGAAGAATGGTGGTTGAGACTGGGGCTGCCCAGGGGTCAGAGTCCTCCATATAAGAAGCCACATGATTTGAAGAAGATGTGGAAAGTCGGTGTTCTGACTGCTGTGATAAAGCATATGTCACCTGATTTTGTAAAGATTAGGAGGCTGATTAGGCAGTCGAAGTGCTTACAGGATAAGATGACTGCAAAGGAGAGCTCAATTTGGTTAGGTGTTTTGAGCAGAGAGGAAGCTCTTCTTCAGCAGCCTAGTAGTGATAATGGGTCATCTGGCATAACAGAATCACCCTCTGATGGTTGCGGTGGGAAGAAGAAACCTTCTATTAGCAGTGACAATGAAAGTGATTATGACGTGGATGGTGTCGATGATGGCATGGGTTCTGTTTCATCTCAGAGTGGCCAGAGAAATCAAACAATTGATATAGAACCGTCTGTTAATCCTCAAAATATTAATTCTCAACCTGTTCAGGATAAAGAGCAAGGGGAGGAGCAACCTAGGAGAAAAAGACAACGTATGAGATCAAGCCCTATAGATCAACAGGCTGCACCATCTCCCAATGAGCGGCCTTGTGATGAGCCAAGAGACACGTTGCCTGATATAAACCACTCTGATGTGCAGTTAGCTGGTTATCAGATGCATGGCAGCCAACAGCAAAACTGCACAATTGCAGCTATGAGGCCTGCGGAGAAAGAGCCTGAGGTCCAATCTCAGTTGCCAGTATCTCACTATAACCACTTGGCCACCCTTCCCTCAGCTGATGTAATCCCCATGGAGAGCATGTCTCTGGAAAGCAGACCCCTACTGTATTCTGTTTCTCAAAATTCTGAGCATGTACCTAATGATTCTCATATGTGCCATGCATCTCAAGATTTTGGATTGCACAATGAACCTCAGGTTTCTGCGTTGCACAACATACCTCAATTTGTGCATTATGGAGCTCAAAATTGTGGTTTGCATGATGGACAACAAAATTCCAGTTTGCACCAAGGCTCTACATATGATTTCTATAATCCATCCGCAGAATTCGGTCCCAGTCGTGATGAGCAGCAATTCCAGATGGTGTTCAACGAAAACCAGCTTACACCGGAGGATTCTGGAGTTCATTTACCAGCACTCCATAGAAATGAAAATGATATCACTGGAGGAGATCTCCACCATTTTGGTGAAGAAACATTTGCGGAGGAGCAAAATAGGCCTGTTGAGAATCATTTTGGGTCTCCAATCAATAGCCTGTCACTAGATTTTACAGGATTCAACAGCTCTTTTATGTCCGTTGATGGTACAAGTCCATTAGATATCCCTGATGTAGATTTTGTGCTTGATGATGACTTGATTCAGTACTTCGGGGCATAAGCTGTAGATGTGAAACTTCAGAGTTAAAATTGTGAGTGGTACTTCTCATAGACCAGCATTTTGTACGTTGCCACTACACAATAACCTCCCCCCCCCCCTTGCCCCAAACCAAAAAACACACATACAAACCACTCTTTATCTAAGAGTTTATATACTGACTGTCATTTGATCGTATCTATGCAGAGATCAGGAAAACAGGATTACCTGTGAGCAAGGCGGAGAACTTTTTTGTGTTCTTTTGGATTTGTTGCAAGTGCTGACATTATGTACAGTAGGTCTTGAGGCTGTAAGTTATAAACTTCATTTTTTCGTAACTCATTCATGATGAATAGATTTGTCAATTTTCAGGTCAAAAGTTTGTCCCTACCTTGTGTAATGTTGGAAATAAGTATTTAACTTACTAATCGGGTTCACCATGTTCTTAACTTTCTTTTTTTGATGAAAGCATTCATAACTTTGTTGCTGATGACTTAAAAGGGGGAAAGCTTTTGTTCCCCGGTCAGTGTTTGTGTATTAGTACTCATTGTTTTCCTATCATCTTTGCTGCTGTTCTTTTTACTTTCTTGGGGGTGGATAGAATTGTTATGTATGGTGCAATAAGTATTGTTTTTGTTTTTGTTCGAACTGGAAGATAATACAGGGTCTTTAAATGTGGAAACTCATGGTCTGTTTGATGTGGCCTAATTTGTTGCAAGGCGTAAACAATGCTTGCTTTGCCTGTGTTTTAGTATTTGTTCCAAGCAAGCTCGGACATTTCTGATGACCATTAAGGGGAAGGTTCCACCAATAATGGGAAAGAGAATTATGGCATTCCTCCTCTAAGGCAGCTGAAATAAGAAAGTTATGCAACAGGAACATTTAGAGACTGAATTCCTTCAACTTTCTTACGACCTGAATCCTGAAACAGAACCTTGAATCCCATTTGACCCTATTTGACAGATGTTACCCTTTTTGCAGCATTTCAGTTTATTTGACCCTAACAAATTGAGACCTTCTGTGCATCATGCTAGCGGGTTTGTACCTGCCCTGTCCTGGAACTCGGCCTTTCCTTCCAAGAAAATATTCAATACAATGGTGATGTTACATCATTCTTGACATTCGGTATCACCAATCAGTTGGAAAACAACATCTGAAAGTGTTAATGCTTTGCTATTCTGTACCACTGCCGTATTGTTGGTATTTGACTTGTGGAATCTATGTTTTTAGATCAATCTTGGTCCTGCTTGATGACTTGTTATTCTGGGAAAAAAACTGTTCAGTAGAATGGAAGTTCTATTGTGGTTTAGGCAGTGTGAAGAATATACAATGAGGATATGAAACAGGTCATTGTTGGTGGGGGTTTTAATGAATGATGAAGAAACTATGTCACCAAAGTAAAAGATCATCTATCTGAAAATTCTCTTGTAACAAGGTTTAAGGTTTTGTTTCATCCCTTAACCGGAGTAGAAAGGGGTACATGGCGCGGTGAATTGCCAAGGTCTTCTAGGTTTAGTGCAGGCTTCATCAAGCGGGGCTAACATTGTTAATAACAAGTAAATAATTTAAACTTGGCAAATTTTTTAGGGTCCTTTAGAGTTCGGTCTTTTTTTGTAAACTTATTTGAACACAAGTATAATCAAAAAACTTGTTTGAGGATAAGTTTATTTTGATCTTTATTGTCTAAAATATCTTTAATAGTTATATTTAATCAAAATTTGTTTGAAAAAACTAACAACTTTTAAATTGAGAATTGTATTAGTATTAACAACTCTTAACTTAGAAATTGTGCTAGCATTAAAATTATATTTCTATCATATATATATACTAGGGATAACCCGTGTCTGAAGGCATGATACAACTAAAAAAAAATCAAACATTGAATTTGAACGCGAAATAACCAAGCATTGAACTTAGACACAACCTAAACTGAAAGCCTAATCATGTGTCTGAAGACACTGTACATAGTTCTTAAACACGAAATGTCATGACTTTAGTGAAATACGGACCACAAAACGTAATTATATATAGTACATTTACAAAATGGGTCATTCTTTAATCTAATTCATTAAAATGCGAATTATCTGCACGTCATTGTAAGTACTCTTTCTCCACCACAATCTTGAATGTCATTATATCAATCCAAATCTGCATCTTCCAACTGGGGGAATGTACAACAATCTAGCATGTATAAAACCAGTTAAATTTAGTACACAACAGAAATTTTAAAATTATAAACTTGAAAAAAAAAAACTATAGCAAATAAATTTAGTTACCTTATTCAAATAATCCCATCAAAAAAGATGGGTTACATTTATTCTTTTTAACTCCGGCACGCCTTCATCCCAATTCTATAGATGAAATAAATGTTTGATCAATAAAATATCATTTTAAGATGTTTGCAATCAAAAGAAATAAACTTGCAAGTAATTTATACCATTTTGTCCTCGTAGAACATGGACCATTATAACAATATTTGTCGTGCAGTTCGACACATCTTCAGGGAGAAAGACATGTAAACGATCAGAAGATATGCATCTAGATAGTGTGACATATAGATGTCCATCACTAAAGACTAGTTTTCGCAAATCATCTCCAACAAATTTCATAGATTGTCCTTGAGACTTAGAATGCTATTAAGTTCGCGCTCATCGCGGATTACAATACTAACGTTATTTTTCTTGAGCAACTGAACCTATACATGAAGATGCAATTAATATGTAAATGAACACAAACTGTATGAGAAAAATTTATTAAGAATATTAGTGAAATGATGCTCATCTTATAGTTTGTTTTAAGTCGTCATCAACCTGTAAGAAGATGCATGAAAATAGTGAAATAAATATGACAATATTTTGCGGCAAAAAAAAAAATAATTACAATGTTGCATGCTCTGTAATTAAAATGATGTATGCTATAGAGTAGGTTTAAACTTACACGACAAAAAATGGTGAGATTTTTTATTTTTTAATCTTGTGAATTTTCAATTATGGTTAGTACACTATGACGGCTACAAACATAAGAAATAGAGAGAAATAATTAAACATGCAATTGAAAATATACAATATTGCCTTAGTAAAAAGATACTTAGATAGAACAGTGGACTAAAATAACAGAAACATATCAAAGTTTGGACAAAATACATAGGAGGTCATCGTCGTCACTTGAGTTGTATCATCGCTGAAGCTGTACTACCGATGGTCACTTTCCGTTGTGAAGTTCACTTAAAAAATATATAAATTGGACAATAAGCCTAAGTATCACATAATAATTTAAACTAATTAAAGCTAATAGTTGTAGGTACCGCATAATAAGCCTAGGTACCGCATAATAGTTGTAAAACTGTTGCATGACTGAGCATCCAATCAAAAAGGACTTGGAAAACATTCCACAACTTTTTATATTGTTCAGTTAGATACTTGAGGAGGAGCTTATGTACACAGTAACGGTTTGCTTCTTGCTTAAGGATTCACGCCTCACCCAATATTTTATGCCTATACAGACAGGCCTCACCCCAAATTTAAAAATTCTACAATCTTAGCCATTCAACAATAAAGGTAAGCTTTGCTTTAAATCCACCTCACTTAAATATAAAAAAAAAGGAGAAAAAAAAAAAAGAAATATATGCACACATCCAACGCAATGGGACTACAAGCTTCAATCAACGCTATAAATTATTTCAGAAACCATGCATTAAACTTTGAATCACGAAAGACCCAATAATTAAATCATAAAGTTAAAAAAAAAACCCATCCGATGAAAGAGACCAAAAATTTCCAAAAACCCCAAACTCAAAAAGATGATGCAATCTAAATCAATAGAACAGTGGCCACAAAAAAGCCCGTAATTCAAGAAGCCCGCAATTATTTATTCAATAAGCCCGCAATTCAATTGAAATCCAATTTAGCTCCATATAAGAGTTGTCAATGATGGATCAAACCCAAATAGCCCAATTTATGTGAGAAGTCCAAACTCAAATGAGGAGCCCAACCTCATAAAAAATCCACCAAGCCTAATATAGTCTAAGACCAGTTAGACTCTTTGCTTAGCCACGTCATCAAGGGGGAGAGCATGAGAAGTTCTATTTGCACCACCGAAGGAAACAGTCCACTCTCACGTCATCTTTGACCGCATCTCATGGAGAGCTCCCCAACCTCCTCGCCCGTTGAGAAGAAATCGTGAGCTCCACCAGAATAATCTTTTAGTTGCTGTAAAGTAGCCCCAATCTGTTAAGGGGACTACTATAAATCGCACGCCCCATCAACACTTGGGGAAGAGACTGATTACCTGACATCACATCTTCCTTGATTCTCCCTCAAAGCTCATATTCTCTGTTCTCCATACCCTTAAATTAATAAAATACCCGCCAACTAGAGCTATTTAAGAGTGGACGTAGGTCGAGTTGACCGAACCACTATAAATCTTGTCTCCTCCAATTTTCTCATTACTTTCACTGCATTTATTATTTACACTTGACAGGTGGTGTGTAAAACCATTTTTGTGCATCATCAGTTTGGCGCCGTTTGTGGGAAGAGACAAAATTCTCACTCCTAAACATTACATCCACTGAACCAATGACGATCACTACCCGATCCATGAACCAACCTGAAGACAATCCTCCACGAGAGGAGGAGGTTACTCCTCCGCCTACCAACTCTGTCCCGAATGCTCCAGCTCCGAATCCCCAACAAATGTTGGAGATCATGCCGCAGCTGGTGGCCCAAAACCAACAGTTACTACAAATCATGCTCGCTGGACAAGGAGGATCACAACTTGGAGGTGCATAACATGGAGGACCCCAAGGAGAAGCACAACTCGGAGGTGCACAACATGGAGGACCCCAAAGAGGAGCACAACTCGGAGGTGCACAACATGGAGGACCCCAAGGAGGAGCACAACTCCAAGGTGCACAACTTGGAGGACCCCAAGGAGGAGCACAATTCGAAGGTGCACAAGGAGCTCCACACCCTGGACACCTAGGAGCACCACGTCCTGCTCCACTCCTAGGCGCCCCACTTGGGGGAGCCCAACATGAGGGAGTTCCACCTCCCCCTCCAATTGTTCCCCATGAAGAGGACCCTTATCTCCAAGAGGATGAAGGCGAAAACCAAAGCATCAAGCATGGAAGTCATTTTCATGATCATTCCAGAGGAGCCCCTAATCATTGGGACAAGAAAATCAAGGAAGTACAAAATCAACTGGGTGATGTCTTCAACGCCATGAAGGCACAAGGACCCGAAACTGTAGACCACCTGGTAAGGCGCACGGATACGCCTTTCAAGCCTGATGTAGCAAACTACCCCCTCCCTCAAAAGTTCAAAATGTCATATGTGGAGACCTTTGATGGACCAAAAGATCCACTAGACCACCTCGACACTTACAAGACTTTGATGCAGCTGCACAACGTACCAGACGAAATCATGTGCAGGGCATTTCCAATTACGTTAAAGGGGTCGGCCCGACAGTGGTTCGCTAAGCTCTCCCCCGCCTTCATTGCCTCATTCGCTGAGCTTAGTAGATCATTCGTTTCGCATTTCATTGGAGGGCGCCGCCACCAAAAGCCTGTTACGCACCTACTTAGTATAAAACAGGACCGCGAGGAGAGCCTAAGGAGTTATCTCACTCGTTTTAACGAGGAGGTACTCTAAGTTG